AGCAAGGCTGGCTGGAGAATTCTGGGAGTTGAAGTCCACATATCTTAAAGTTGCTAAAGTTGAGAAACACTGATCTAATATAAGGCAGTAACTGAAGAATCTGTCCATTCTTCATCTTCATCTTGGCCTCAGGAATGAGCCAAGTGAAATACTGCAAGAATGGGCAGAACAAGTAATCTGCTGGAGAACCCTACCCTAGGCGAGGTGTTCAATTTGATATTGATTGCAATAGAAACCCCATGGGTCAGCTATCATTTCCACAATCTAGGGTTTTGGTCCAGTCCTCCTCATCCAACATTCTGTCTCCTCTTGTGGTGACCTCCAGTCATGTGAAATTGTAATAGATATCCAGCTAGGAGAAAGGCAGACTGAACTTGAATAGAATTGCTCATCTGACAAACTGGCTGACCTTTTCAAGTTAGGTGTCAGAAGCCCTGTAATATTTTTCCCCCCTAAATTCATCTACCTCTTTTCTATTTAAAAAACACTCCATTATTACTGCCACATTTCAAGGCTTATCTTTCAAATCAAATACATCACCAAATGTCTGGACCTCCAGTTTCTCAAGATACCTGTGTGGTTTAGAGGAGAAGGGGTGGGAGTATGAGTGGGGAGACCCAGGTCCTAGGCCAACCTTCAGCTGCAGAAGCTCCCCGGGTGACTTTGGGCCTGTCACTCTCTCTAAGTCCATGAAGTTATTATTGTGGGGAAAAATAGGATGAGGGAGCGCTATGTAACTGCCTTCAGCTCCTGTACAAAACGTGGGATGTAAATAAAACAAATAAGCAAATGATAATAAAATGATCTTTTTTCAGCAACATACCACATGTATGCACCGTGTGTTTATTTCTGGGTGAGACCTTTTGTATGGGCATTATGTTGGAAAGCTTTGAATAAATGCTTTGCCTCACATCTCATTTTTCTGGTTTTGGCAATCCAGATTTGATTATTTTACCATTTAGCAGCATTTCCTGGCCTTCTTTGTAGCCTTTGGAGGGCCAGAGGGTGCAGAAATTCCCCTTTGCACTCTTGCCTAAATCTACCTCAAGGCCACTGACTTGATCCATGTAAGGTTGGAGCATAAATGGAGTTAAGGTTCATGTTCCCACCAACCCAATAACGTGTGAAGGAAGGCATGTTGAAGAGAGAAGCTGAGATCTGCTACCTGTGTGCACTCCTCTCCTCACCTAAACTGGCTCTTCTTGGGTTCTCCCTACTGCCAGGCTCCAGGATGCTAGACTCCTCTTCCTCTTTCACCAAGAAAATCTCACTGGGTTTGGAACTTGGAGATCCTGCTTGAAGAGGAAAAAACCAAAATTAGCTTTGCTGAGTTGCGTGATTCCATCCTTCTTTTTGATCTGTTCTCCTCTTTAGCTGCAGTTTCCACCATCAATCCAGGGACCAGCTCCTTGTTCATCCAGAGAAAATTTATCATTCCACTTACGTAATGATGGGCTGGGTTTACACAACATGCTCACCCATAAACCTACTCATTACAAGATGGCTTAATACAGTGTTTTTCAACCTTAATCCCACCAAATGTAGCTCCTTAACAGACGGGACCTGCAACTTATCTCTTCTGTCAGACCTAATGAGACAGGCAGATGTCATCAGGAAGAGGCAGTTCCTCAAATATGCCACGTAGGGCTTTAGAGATCAAAACCAGCACCTTCAATTGGACCTGGAAGCAAACCAGCAACCAGCGCAGCTCGCAGAGCAGAGGTATAACATGTGCCATTTTAGGAGCACGCATACTGTAACTCCCTGCGCTGCCTTATTTTTCAGCAGCTGAAGCTTCTGAATACTCTTCAAGGGCAGCCCCCTGTAGAGTGCATTACAGTAGTCCACTTGGGAGGTGACTAGGGCATGAGTGAGCGTAAGCAGACCCTCCCAATCTAACTGGCACACAACACGAAGCTGTGCAAAGGCCCTCCTAGCCACGATTGCCCCTGCTCCTCAAGTAGGAGTCGCAAGTTCAGGAGGACCCCCAGGTTGCACACTGGGTCTGTTTGGGGCTTTGTAACCCAATCCAGTACCAAAAATGGCAAAGTACCAGAATCAGAAGGCCCTAAAACCCAAAAAACACTCAATTTTGCCAGGGTTCATCCAAAGCCTGTTCCCCATCCAGGCCCTCACAGCCCCCAGGAACCGGAATAGGACATCAACAGCATCACTTAATTCACCAGGGGCAGAGATATAGAATTGGGATGAGCTCACCCAGTGGCTTCATATAAATGTTGAGAAGGAAAGGAGAGACTACCAAACGCTGCAGAACTCCACACAGTAGGGACTGAGGGTGGGATCTTTCCTCTCCAATCACCATTGACTGATATCGACCCCAGAAAGAGGAGGAGAACCCACACAATACTGTACCACCCACCCCCAATCCAAGCCGATCCAGAAGGACACCATGGTTGATGGTATTGAAGGCTGTTGAGCTAGGATGGATACAAAACCACCATCCTGCCCCCGCCAGAGATCATCTAAAAGTGTGACCAATGCTGTTTCCGTCCCATACCCAGGCCTGAATCCTGACTGAAAGCGATCCAGATAATCTGCTTTATCCAGGGTCCTCTGAAGCTGTTGCATGACCACCTTCTCCATCACCTTCCCTAAAAAGGGAAGGTTAGATACTAGATGAAAATTGTCCCATGTAGTGGGGTCCAGCGATGATTTCTTGGGCGAACCAAGGCCTCCTTAAGAGGCAAAGGAACAACCCCCTCACCCAAGGAAGAATTCACCACCGCTAGAACCCACCCACACGGCACCCCCAGGCAGCTTTAATGAGCCAGAGGGGCATGGATCTAAAGAGCAGGTGGCTGAGCTCACGGTCATGAGCACTGTGCTACTTCCTCAGGCCCAACAGGTTCAAACCATTCCCAGATAACAGGGCAAGACTGCCCCAGGCATCTCCCTGGGACCTGCAATGAGGCCTAAGGCCAGCTAAGAATAAATTTGAGTGATTTTATCTGATGGATGCTGAGCAAATTCTTCCGCACGGCCCTGTAAGGGGCTCTCCAAACAACCCCCCCCCCGTTACCCAAGAGGGCACGGATCACCTGAAACAAGGCTGCCAGACACTGCGGATGCATTAAGGGTGAAGCATTGTTGCTTCACCGCCCTTACCGCCACAAGGTAAGGGGACAGGAATAACCATGTGCTCTTGAAGAAAAAACAGGTTATACATATAATAAGCAAATAAAATTATATTTACTCAGCGCCACTAGAGTTTCACAGGTCTCCTGGTGAGTTTCCTTGTAAACAGGCTTCTGTTTAGGATCCACAACTAGCCACTGATTCTCCATCATTCAGTCCCAAGCCACCTGCAGACAATTTACTGGCTCCTAAAACAAGAAAAATGTTGTTCACGCCATTGACATGTACATCTCCTCTTCTGGCAATTGCTAATAATCAGGGTTATGCAATAACAACAACAGCAATAACACTCAGCTGGAAGTCAGGACATGCTGTCTTTTTAAGTACAATTTCTAACTTTTCATTTTCATCCAGATTATCAGTTTGGTGCCCAGACTCACTTGGCTTTGTTATAGGTATTTACAGAGTAAGGTAACCCTGGAGCTCCTACCTTGAACTCTGTATATGCTTGAAATAGACTCTACTCTCAGTCCGTTCATAATCATCACTAATGTTGAACTAGATCTCACATTTTACCTAGCCAGAGAGGGACCAGGGTTTTTTGCAGGTTAAATTGCTCACATTCACACAGATGTGGACTCCACTTGGGCAGGGTCTCATGAGGTGAATCTGGCAATGCCTTGGGGGTCCTCTGAGGCCTGAGTTCTGCCTCCTGTAAGCTGGACCCCTGCCCTGATTTCTGTGGCTGGGACAGGTGTGAGATTTGGGATGAGATATCATCAGTATATTAATGATATTCACCTATACCTTGTCACCCCAGACTGAATTAGGGATGCTGTGGAAATCCTGACCTGATTCCTGGAAGCTGTAAGGGTCTGGAAGGACTAAAACAAACTCAGGTTAAATCCCTGCAAGATGAAGTTGCTATTTTTAGTGATAGATCTGGCTCTGTCCTAGCTCACGTTTGAGCTTCTGATGGTGTGACATTCCATGTT